AGTGCCCAGAAAACAAAGGAGTTCTATACAAAGCCCCTATAGAGAGGTGATTGCTGGCCTTTCTCCTGCGGTCCTGCTCCGAACGCCCACTGTCTGAGAGTCCGCCCCGTGAGGTGTCTGTAGTGGGGTTCCCCTCGGTTCTGGCTACGTGGTGCCATAAGAGTTCACGCGCAGAAGCACTTTTGTAATCCAAGTGAGTTTGTATGAAGGTAAGAGAAAGTCTCACAGGGGACACGAGACTTCTGGAAAGGGTGCCAAGCCGCATAGAGGCTGCGCCGAGGTTCACAACTGGGCACAAAAAACCATGCGGAAAAGAGCACCCACACTTGCGGAACTGGGGAACCCCCGGGGACCATGAGCCCAAGAGCACGTGGACCCCCAGTCGGCCCAGAACAGGCACAGGCATGTGCCTGTGGGCGAGAGACCCCATGACTCCACCTGCACCTGAACCGGAAGAGAATAGAGACCTGGCCTTCCCACAGCTGGGACATTTAACCCCGCTGGCTGATCTTACTGGATGTGTTTAGACGCACCTGGGTGAAGTCATGGCCCTAGGTGGAGGTTAGGCTTTAGGTTTCACCTGTGCTAGGGCTCCTAGTCTGTGCATGCTCAATTTGGGTCTTTCCCATAGGTATCCCCTTAGGGTGCCTGATCTCTTTCCAACCCCTGTATTGTGTGGCCCTTTGCAGGCATTGGAGAGCTAACTCCTTTTGTCCCTAAATCTAGCGACCTTTCAATTCTACTCATAATGACCCCATAGCACAGAATAGAGCCACCCCCTAGAGTTTCTAAGGCTGTAAGCCTTACGGAACCAGACAACCATGTCTTCCTCTGTTGGAGCGGCAGGTGGCTTTGAACCATCAATCTTTAGGTGTGCAGTCAATCTAATGGAAGCATACATTGCTGGTGTTTCAAAGCTCTGTGCTTGCTTCACTGTGCTGACCATGCCATACCAGCAGTCGGGAATTGTTAGACGTCAGTTAGGAGTAATTATCCATCAGAACCAGCTCTGCCGAATCAAGGGACCACAAAGAAAGGGAGTCCGTCAGATGGAGGCTGGGGCCCACTGTCGGGGTCCAGGCGCTCTGTGTGTTGACTGGTGCCATGGGGGGGTGGGGGTGGGCTATTGGACTCAGTCTCAACATATGGGGCGGGGGTGGGGTGGCGCTTCAAAATGTTCATGGGAAAATGCCATTATCTTTTAACTCAAGTTTTCTACAAGCTTTTTGAAGCCCCTTTGTATCACACACCCGATTCCTTATTCTTTCCAAGCAGAGTGTATTCTTAGAGTGGAAAGAGCTAGCTCTAGGGATAGGATTTCATGAAACTGTTAGGGATAAGGCGCCTCGGCGGGATGGCCTGGCCACTGCTATGCCCTAAGCTGCCAATAAAGGCCGCCAGTTGTTAACCAGCAGCGGCTCCGCAGAAGAAAGACAAGACTTTTAGCTCCTGAGATTGACCGCCTTGGAAGCCCGTAGGGGCAGTACCGCGCTGCCCTATAGGGTCATGATGAGTCCGAATGGACTCCCTGCAGGGTTTGATCTGGTTTATGGGGTTTGGTTTGGTTTTCTGGCATGGGACAACATGGCCTCAAGTGACCCCTGCTGGGAAGTACCCAGCAGCCCATCCAGAGTATTCTTGGCCAGTGGTGTTGAGCCTAAATTAGTGAGGCCTGAGGAGACATCCAGGCCAACACAGGTTGTGGGATATTCCACAGAACAGCTGCCCTTGACCCTTCACAGCTGTCTGTCGGAAATAGGTGTTCGTGGGGGTGGGGTCTGTGCAGGTGAAAGGAGAAGAGAGGGTAATAGAATCACGGCAGTCAGACGTGCTGTGTAAGACGTAGGTCCTTGGTATACAGGAGCAAACTGTAAAGGAGCCAGAGGTAGTCATGTCAACGTGAAGTGTGGGGTGGAATCTAGCCTGTCAATCAGGTCACAGCCCGATGGTGACTCCTCGAGGGCATGGCCTTCTCATAAGGGGGTCCTGGGACCCTCCTCTCTCTCTGCCTTCGCCTTCCTGTTGTCACGCGGGAGCCCTGGAAATGTGTCCACCGCCAGCCATTGGATCCACAAGACTTTGCACCACTGGCCTGTGATCTTCCTGCATCCTTGCATGTGAAATTCCTCTGAAGAGGAATTTATGGACTAGAATTGGATTTATGGACTAGTATTGGACTTAGGGTCTGATCTGGCCTGGGATATTTTCCTGATAAGCAATTACCTCTTGATATAAAGTTCTCCCTTACACATATAGTCGTGTCCCTGGATTTGTTTCTCTAGTCAGCCCGGCCTCACACAGGGAGCACGTGGAGACCGGGAACGTGGGCTGAGCGTTCAGTGCTCCTCTTCCATTGGTGAAGTTACAGCCCCAGGTGAGCATATAGTGTGATGTTTATGAGAGTGCTGGCAGGTACTCAACGTCATTTCAAGAACAGTTGCAAAGAGAAAACAAACTGTGTGTGTGTACCTAGACTAGAGAAAAAGTGCTATCGAGTCCATCCTGGCTCCAGCAGCCCTCTAGGACAGAGGTGCCCTGGTGGCTCAGTGGGTTACACATTGGGCTACTTACTAACCACTAGGTCAGCAGTTTGAAGCCATCAGGCCCTTTGAGCTAGAAAGATGGGGCTGTCGGCTTCCACGAAGACTGGCGCTCGGAAACCCACAGGGCAGTTCTGCTGCCTGTAGCATCGCTGTGCGTCAGAACCGCCCGATGACGGTCAGCCTTATGAATGGAAGACTGCACATCCTTCTCCTCAGAGAAGCGGGCGTAGCAGCACTCCGTCACCGCAAACCACCCAGACCAGACACTCAGCCAGCTCACGGTTCCGACTTACCGTGACTCTGCATAGGGTTTCTGAGACCGTGAATCTGTACGGGAGCAGACAGCCTCCTCTTTCTCCCGAGGAGTGGCTGGTGAGTTTGAACCACCAACCTTGCAGTTAATAACCCAATGCCTAACCCACAGCGACACCAGGGCTGTTTAAGGCATACCTAGAGAGATGAAAACTGAGGTGAGCTGTTCCTATCTGACACATCTGAGAGACGGTGCTCAGTGTACTGTTCTTCCAGGTTTTTGTAGGTTTGACTTACTTTTATTATTATTATTATTAAAAGAAGAAAATACCATCATGGATGACATGTTAGCATACATTCCTGCTAATTTATGAAAGACGTGCTATCTCTGTTGCTGGCAGGGACTTCCCCAGGTCTTGGCATCATACTTCTCAGGCCGCTGCGGATGGCAGGTGGGACCCTGAGTGCAGCGCCCGCTCCGTGGTGGTCTAGGGGTGCAGTAGTGCGTGGTGAAGGAGGCGCTGCATTTGCAGCAGACAACTCCGGGTCTTCCCGAGGAGATGGGTGGTCCTGAACACCTTCTCCCAGCCCCGGGTCAGCCCCTGTGCTAGCAGTGCACATCTGGGAGCTCCCAAGGGTGTCCTGCTCATCAGGGGGCATGTCTGAGAGGCCATGGGAGAGCTCATGCCCTTCCGAGTCCTGCCTGCTCTCTCCACATGTCCCCTTTCCCACAGGACCAGTCTGCGGGGCTCCGGGGTGGACCTGGCCGCTGGGCTGTCACTCTGTCCCTGCTGCTTGCTTCCGTCTGCACACAGGGCAGCCTCCTGGGACAAGTGCAACAGCCAAGAGCCTGGCCGTGTCCCCTGTGTGTCGGAGGAAGGGGAGCAACGGGGCAGTCTGGGGATGGCTCCTTCATGTTATAGCCAAAGCAGACATCTTTTCATTTACAACTGCGGTGTCTCAGGAATTAAAACACACCGTGTACAATATGGTGGACCTCTTGTGACAGAGTTTTCTGTATAATTTTGATTTTTTAATGAAGTGTTTTAATATATATATTATTATATGTGTTAATGTGTATATTATATATTTACAGAGTATATAAATTATATTACTTATAAATTCTATGCAGCATGTTATATATTAAAATATATACATATATGTTATCCCAAACCTTATTTACCCAGTGATAATCACGCTTGATATTTTGGTGGTTTTTTGACCAGTCTTTTTCTCTTTGCTTCTTTCTTGCTGATATACATGGAGTGTGTGTGTGTGTGTGTGTGTGTGTGTGTGTGTGTGACTGAATTCTGTGAGTGCATCTGTGCAGAAGTGCACATGTGTATGATGTATTCTACATGTGTGCATCTATATCAGTGTCTTTGTGAGTATCTGCATGTGAATATCTGTGGATATGTTGCCTGTCTCTGGGTATGAGTCTACAGGTCTGCGTGTGATTTTATGTGCATAGCGTCTTCTGGCTTTGTGTGTCTATGCATGAGTGCATGCGTGTACAGTGTAGTCTCTGTGTGTGCATGTGTGTCTCCATCTTTGTCTCTGTGTGAATCTTCTTGTATGTGTGCCGTGTGTCCTGCGTCTCTGTATCTTTCTATGAGTGCATATGTGTATGATGTTTGCATGTATATCCTTGTCTCTGTGTGAATCTTCTTGTATGTGTGCCGTGTGTCCTGCTTCTCTGTATCTTTCTATGAGTGCATATGTGTATGATGTTTGCATGTATATCCTTGTCTCTGTGTGAATCTTCTTGTATGTGTGCCGTGTGTCCTGCTTCTCTGTATCTTTCTATGAGTGCATATGTGTATGATGTTTGCATGTATATCCTTGTCTCTGTGTGAATCTTCTTGTATGTGTGCCGTGTGTCCTGCATCTCTGTATCTTTCTATGAGTGCATATGTGTATGATGTTTGCATGTATATCCGTGTCTTTGTGTGTGTCTTTGTCTAACTCTGTTCTGTGTGCAGCAGTGCATATGCATGTGGTATCCTCTGTGCGTGTGCGTGTGTGTGTAATGCACGTGTCAGCAGTATGTGTGGGCCACATCCTATCATGTGTACGCTATTTGGGGAAGGAAAAGGCATCAGAGTAAGGACTGCCCAAACCTGGCCCTCCTGGCCATAGGTGTGGGGCTTGAATCGGGGTCCCCAGGCCCCTCCACCACTCTGAGCATGTCCCCTGCCCTTTCAGGACGGCTGTTCTCAGTGAAGGACCTTGCACTCGCTACTGAGTAGCGACCATGGGCCTGCTCGCGTTCCTGAAGACCCAGTTCATCGTGCACCTCCTCATCGGGTTCGTCTTCGTGGTGAGCGGGCTCACCATCAACTTCCTCCAGCTATGCACACTCGCCCTCTGGCCCATCAACAAGCAGCTCTACCGCCGGCTCAACTGTCGCCTCGCCTACTCGCTGTGGAGCCGTGAGTATGAGTACGCCGCACGCCGGGGAAGGGGCCCCGGAAGCAGCTAGCGGGAGCCCCGTTCACACAAGACTAACAGCAAAGTAAACCAGCTCCACGCTCACTGTCAGGCAGGGTGCCCAGAGCGGGCACGCTCGTGAGGACTCAGCACAGGCCGTCAGCGAGGGCACCTACCCTGCCAATGGGGGCACGAAGGGCTGCTGCCAGGGGCTGGCCAGTAGACACGTGAAAAGATGCCCAACCTAACACTGCTCACAGGAAGTTCCAACACATGACTTTGGTGACCACAGAAATGGCAATTTTGGATGTGGCTAAGCATCCTAGGAGAGGCCATTTTTAAACCTAAGTCAAAGTAGGGAGAAGCGGGTGTCCCCGGCTTCGGCAGCTGTCCACACATGCCAGCCTCATTCCCTGGCGTGCCTGCCGGCCCCGAAGCTCTCAAAAGCAGGCCCGGGGACATCTTGTTTGGTTTGCAAACACTGTTTGCACCTGGAAAAGCAAGGTGTGTGTCAGTCTCCCGTCTGCACGTGCCTGTACGAGAGTGAGGATGCTGGGGGGGACACACATTCCATTTCACCTGTCAGCAGCAGCAGAGATGTGAGCACGGCGGCACGCCCACCGTGTCGGAGGCCCCGTTTGACACACATGCAGGCCGAGAGGTCGGCAGCTGGCACCCACCCCGAGGTGCCTGGGAAGGACCAAACCGAAACCCGGCTCCCTGCCTTGGAGCCCGCGTCTGTGCCACTCACAGCGGGCCCACAGGGCAGGGTAGAGCGGGCATGCCCCTCTGGGGTCCTGAGACTGTCACTCTTTCTTATTGTGTCCGAGTACACCTTTATTTTCAGTGCTATTCCTTTGGATACACATTATTCAACACAATACGAAGTCACCAGTAGAAGCGTGTTGCAATACCAACGTCACTCTGGGCTTGAAACTCCTCTTGCCTTTTATGCCAACAATAATACTCTTTATCGGACTAATGGTTTTTGATAATCGATTATTGCTGGTACTTCAATTTTGTTGAGGACACACACACACACACACACACACACAGGAAATCCCCTGATTTGTAAGAGGAAGCTTGGCCCTAAGTTTGAAGTACTTCCTTTTCTCAACAACAACCAAACAATCCCATTTTCCCCTTCCCGTGGCCCCACAGACGGTTCTTTTCCGCTGTGGCAGTGCAGGCTGGCACCTTGGGGACGGGGAGGGACATACACCAACACCAAGTCCCTCGGGTCCATTCCGACGCACATACACCATTTCCAAGACTGTACGTCTCTCTCTATAGATCATTTCTCTTTTTTTTTTTTTTCTTTTTTCTTTTTTAACATTTTATTAGGGGCTCATACAACTGTTATCCCAATCCATACACACATCAATTGTGTAAAGC